TATATATATATATATAAAGCTTAAAGAAAGCTTACCGGACCTAAATGTAAAAGTAGTAATAAAAGTTTGTTACACAGATCAAAAATTATGAAAGATATAAAATGAGCTCAATTCATTATCAATGGGGAAGAAAATGTTGGAAAAGGCTAAATATCTCAAAAAGCTAAAGTTGCACCAATACCAAAAATCATAGCAGTCATGTCCTGAACGAGATGAACGTTTTGATATATGATTTGTTAAAATAGTACAAAAACTGTGCGAGTAGTTAGATGCCGAAAAACGTACGGAAGAAAAAGTGGATCTCAAATAGTGTGAATGCCGTGAATGCCTAATAGGCATCCATACAACGAGTCTTTGGGAAAGGGAGTAGCAATGGATTGGGGGGCTCGGATTGTCTAGGAAGTAAGAAGGCGGTGCTTTGAAGAAAACAGATTGGAAACCACTGACTCAGAAGACGGCACGGCACGTTTCTCTTACCGCTCGACTCCACTGAGCTTGTGGCGGTGCTTCTTAGACATCAGCAGTCCTCCCCCCCAGGCACCCTGAGGGAACAAAGGAGTGAAAACATGCAACACAAACACAACTCAACACAACTCAGTGTGAGCTGCTCACATCCACATGGAGCCACAATTTGTACTTCTCGCAGATGTCTGCAATCTCGTTGATGGGATCAAAAGCGCCGTACACCGTCGAACCAGCGGTGGCATTCACAAACAACGGCACACAACCCTGCAGACACCCCACACACACACACACACACACACACACACACACGGAAGAGTTGGTCACGGAGATAGCAATTCAATTCAGTTAATTTATATAGCACCAATTCACAACAAAGTTTTCTCAGGACACTGAACAGAAACATTCACATACATAGAAAAGCAAATTAGTAAAGTTCTCCATCTAAGCAAGCCAGACAAAAACCGGACAAAGAGCTTGAAGAGCAGAAAGAAAGACACCTTCTGTTTTATGTCGAGGATCTTGGCCTCTAGATCTGCAGGGATGACTCTTCCTCTGAAAACAGAACAAACTGTCAGACGTCACATTTGGTTTCTCTCGCTGGTTGAACAGCTCAACGGTTTGCCAGACAAACCTTTCATCTGTATTCAGCAGGATCACGTTTTCTGTCCCAAAGCCGAGAGCAGCTCCAGCCTTTTTGATAGAATAGTGACTCTGCAGGGACACAATGAGCAAACCTTTACTCCATGACAGGACGGCTGCTTTCGGGGGTGAGGGGGCGGGGGTGGGGGTGGGGGGGTGGGGGGCTGATTCTTTAATTAGTTTAGCTTCGGTGAGACTGAACAACTGCATGAAACTAAAAATTATTGTTGGCCGTTGGGTTGTGAGTTTTCAGTGAAACAGAGCTGCTTTCTCAGAAGAAGCTGCTGTGTGTGTGAGCTAGGGGTTGAACGAGTATATAATTTTTAAACTCAACATTAACATAATAAAACCCGAGTAGAACTCAAGTATTTGATGACATCATAAATCTCAAGATACAAAAATAAATAAATAAATAAAACCGCAAAAAAAGGTAATTATTTACAAAAAAAAAAGGACCAACAAAACAAAGGGAGCATATATGCAGCACGTCAAAAACAAAACTTAAACCGAAACTGGTTCTGGTTCGGTGGATTGGACCCGGTGTTACACCATACTCTATGACCTGCAACAGTGCAACACCGCCCCCTACGGTCATACGGTGGTCACATAATATGACGTCACTACGGATACTCGACATAACATTTTTAACCTCGATAGATGTCCTAGCAATCGATGTGTAGATTACTCGAATACTCTGTTAATGCCCTAGTGTGAGCATGAGTGTGTGTGCAGCAGCACATCATCTCACTGTGCATTCTTCTCAGCTTTGGCATGTGCGTTTCTGACAGACATGTTGATTCATGGCCTGTGTGTGTGGTCACGTACATATTCGGATGTGAAAAGGATGAGGCGGGGAGCAGCAGACATGCCCTTGGTCTTGACCTCGGGGAAGTACTTGTAGCGAGCGATCATCACGCTGTACATGTTGGAGATGGCGCCCCCTGCAGAGCACAGACGCGTCAGCACCAACAAGTCCTTAACTTAAAATAAATCACAACACAAACATTCTGCTTCCACCATAGAGTTAAATAACACCACTAGAGGGCGCTCTGAACATCACACCCATCATTTACATTTACGATATGTGGAAGAGCAAAGATGGCGTCCAAAACGTGCAACTGCTCACAGCCAACAGAACAACTTCAGCTTCAAGCACAATTGGATCTGTGTCACAGATTATTCTTAATATCTTTACAATATACTTCATATTATTCAGAATTAAAGCTACTTTCATATAATCCTGTAAACCACTGGATGTTACAAAAGGAACATATACAGGTCCTTCTCAAAAAATTAGCATATTGTGATAAAGGTCATTATTTTCCATAATGTAATGATAAAAATGAAACTTTCATATATTTCAGATTCATTGCACATCAACTGAAATATTTCAGGTCTTTAAT